GCAAGCATGATTCTGGGATGTATTGACAGGTGTGTTGTGAGCAAGACACGAGAAGTCATTCTTCCGCTCTACTCTGCTCTGGTTAGGCCTCAGCTGGAGTATTGTGTCCAGTTCTGGGCACCGCATTTCAAGAAAGATGTGGAGAAATTGGAGAGGGTCCAGAGAAGAGTAACAAGAATGATTAAAGGTCTGGAGAACATGACCTATGAAGGAAGGCTGAAAGAACTGGGTTTGTTTAGTTTGGAAAAGAGAAGACTGAGAGGGGACATGATAGCAGTTTTCAGGTATCTAAAAGGGTGTCATAAGGAGGAGGGAGAAAACTTGTTCACCTTAGCCTCTAAGGATAGAACAAGAAGCAATGGGCTTAAACTGCAGCAAGGGAGGTCCTGGTTGGACATTAGGAAAAAGTTCCTAACTGTCAGGGTGGTTAAACACTGGAATAAATTGCATAGGGAGGTTGTGGAATCCATCTCTGGAGATATTTAAGAGTAGGTTAGATAAATGTCTATCAGGGATGGTCTAGACAATATTTGGTCCTGCCATGTGGGCAGGGGACTGGACTCGATGACCTGTCGAGGTCCCTTCCAGTCCTAGAATCTATGAATCTATATGAAGCAAGGCTTTTACAGGATTGCCAGGTCTACATGCAGGTACGCTGAAGCCATACTTCAGGAGAGTTGTCCGTGACCTGAGGTGAGGTCTGAAGTACCTAAACAGATTTGGTTGTGGTCTGTGAGGAGGCCACAATGCCTCAAGGAGGTTGCCAGGTTGGAGCCTAAGCCACATGGTGAAGGGGGAACAGTGTCTTGGCAGCTTTGGCTGTCACCCGCAACGGGGCTCTGCTGTCTCAGCAGGTCACGAGTGCAGATCAGATAAGAGCTTTTGACTATATGGAATGATGTTATTGTTAATAAAACCATGACCTTTGTTTTCCACACAAACACGTCTCTGTCCCTTATTACAGCCTGGCCTGCAGCAGCTAATCACTGGAGCTGAAGCTGGTGCTAGATTAGCCAAAGCCACTGAAATCCCTGCTGGAGACATCTTTTTCTGCTGATCATGGCATTGTGAAGCTCACTACTCAACCTAAGAATGAGAATTCTAGCCTCGTCAATGACAACGGGAATGCTGTGAACCAGGGTCCTCCAGATCAGCACGCCTGACAGACTGTCGCTCAGCCAGCCTGCCAGCCCTAGAGCATGCATTCTCTAATGAGGAAGTGCGGAGAGCACATGGGGAGAAGAGACAGACAAGGAAACCCTCGAGGTCTATGAATTCACACAAGAGCTACAGCGGCTTTCTGCTTCATTAAGCAGCTGGCTCTAGGTTTTGGGTGGTGGTTGCAGGGGGATACATTTGCCTGAGCTGTAGTCTGAATCACACCAGCAGAACTACTGTGTCTCTGTCAGAGAGACCGGAGCAAAGCAGAGAAGAGAAATTGGGAGAGAATATCCTATGCTTATCTTCCTTTCTAAAGAGCTCTGGGGAACAGCTTGCAAAGAACACAGGCAGTGGTTAAAATAGATTGTAACAGGCAGGGAAGCTCTTCCCATGCCATCCAAGGAGAAGGAGGAGTGATGCTCCCCCTGGTGAGGGAGAACAGAGGGGACTCTCCCTCTGTTTTAAAGCATGGAATTAAGGAGTAAAAAGGAACGGGTGTTCTCAAGCACATTATCTGTCCCACCTCCTCATACAATCAACATATCTTTTGCTAGTGTCTCTGCTAATCTACACTACCCGATGTCTCAAGCAGGCAGCTTTAGTTAATGTAAGAGGCTACAAGAATGGCAGCAGTAATTATTTTACAGATCAACACACTCTGGGAATTGAAGTATATTTGGGGGATCAGGCACAACCTAATCTAACCCACAATCAAATACCTATTTAGCTAGCAAGGTAGTCAAACATAAGTGACTAAACTCCAGATTTCACACTACTAGGGTTCCAGATACTCCAGCCGGTTCACCTGTTCCAATGCTGTATCAGCAGTTACATTACTAACCTCTATTTTTAGAATTTTAGAACTCTGCTATAAAATTTAGCTCTTGGCAGAAACTTGGCTAATATTCAGCGTGACGATAAGATATTAAGCTTGTGATTCCCATTAGCATTAGTGGGAATCACATGTGAATCCCTGATCATTATGCAGAACTTTTACTCTACAATCTGCATAGTGTCTGCAGCGTATGGGTGAATTCAACAGGGCTACATAGGGGTGCAGGGCTCTGCCCATGGGAATTCCATTTGCAGGATCTTGCCCTAAGAATGAAAACTATGGGCCAGATTGTAGAGTGGCCACATGTAGAGTAACACATTTACTCCAAAAATGGCCTCCTTCATTTCAGTGGGACTGCAAGGGGGAGATTTGCACAAGGCATACAGGGAGTTAAGACACCCAGCTAAGTCAATGCTTAGCATGATGATCAGGGATTTGTCCATGTGATTCGCACTAATGCTAATGGGAATCATGTAGCTTAATAATAATAATAATGATAATCACTCTGAAAATTAGTTACCCCGGGCTGCCAAATTTATGCTGAGCTAAATTTTATTGCTGAGTTCTAAAAATAGAGGTTAATAATGTTAGTGCTGACAGAGCACTGCAACAGATAGAGCAGCTGTAGTATCTGGGACCCTAGCAGAGTGTGAAATGGGTGCCTGAGTGTGAACCTTTGTGCCTTTCATAATCTGCCCCTAAGGTACTATTCAGTGTCAGTAAGGGCTTATTTAGACACAATATTTATAGCAATTTAACTATATTGGTTTAGAAACCAATCCAGTTAAATTGGGGCAACTCTTCAGTGTGTGCAGTTATACATGTATAAAGGTGCTTATAAATAAGCCATACTGATATAAGTACCTTTATGCCAGCATCCCTGTGTCCACATTAGGGGGTTACACCACTTCCCCTGTATCAATTTCTAAACAGATATAGTTAAATTGGTACAAACACTGAGTGCAGACCAGCCCTAAAGGTGGCAGCATCTAGCTTTATTTAGAATAGCCATTTTCTCCCCCAAATGGGTTGATTTTTAAGATGTAAAACTGGCAACGACAACGAAGAATGGAATCTATTTTGGGTGGTGCAGGTTTTTGGTTTTGTTGATGTACATGTATACAACAAATAGTAGTTTGGTTTGGTTGGTTGACTTTTAGTTTTTGGTTTTACATTTTATTAAAAATTATGCATTTTAAAATAGTTTAACTGTGTATTCAATTTTCCTTGCCTTTAAAAACAATTTCTACAAAAGAGAATAAAAAACCTAGCCATTTATCTTCTCACAGCATTTAAGCAACTTTTTTTTCTATACATGATGTACCTAACGTGATATGAGACACAAACAGGAGACAACTGTATCCAATAAATACCTTTTTTAAGTCTGGTGAGCAGAAAACACTCCACTATGGAAAAAAATGAAAGGAAAGTTAATAAACACCAAGTTTAAGCCGGTACCCAGATGCTAGAGAACTCTCCCTTCCCTACCACATCCAACTGAGTGTAGTCATAGTTACAGCTGGTAAGGGGACAGGAAAAAGAATGAGACTAACAGCCCTTTCCTCCTACTTAGCCAAATTCTGCCCTCACTGGGATGACGCCCGTGACTCTATAGAGTTAATACCAGCACAGTAAAGCTCTTGGGATTGACTGGAACAAGCCCTGGCACTGCAGTTGTTCACAGGATCAGGCAATCTGGTTTGGAAGCTATGGAGCCCTGTGTTGGGCAACTATAAAGCTATCATTATGTGAATACTGGAGGCCGGGGAGGCTCAAAAAATGAATGGCGTGAGGTTCAACAATCTGTTGAATGGTTTGGCTTCTCATAAAGGGGTGCAAAATAAAAATTCCTTTTCATTTTGCAACATTTCAAGTTGTGCTTATTATTATTTTTTGAAGTCTTAAAATGTACCACTAGTGAAAGGTGCTAGAGTGAGACCCTCAGAGAACTGAATTCCCTTATTGAGCCACAGAACAAACGTACAGGGGCAATGTCAATGCATGTTTCCTGATGCTACCCAGCCAACGTTCCTGGATTGGGATGAACCCTCCCTGTAGGTGACAGGGCAGAGGAGTACAATATCCCTCAGAAATCTACCAGCAATTTGTCTGGCTAAAAAGGCTTTTTGCAATTATTATAAAAGGGAAAGAAGAGAGGGAGGGAAAACAGGAACATTTCTATGGCAGAATGTAACTCAGATGCTGATGAACAGGTGACCTAACTCTCACCTCCCCTGTTCAAAACAACTTCTAAAGCCAAGGATACATAAAATCCCACTAGACATCAGGCAGACCAAACCAAAAGCTGCATTATAGCACACCAGCAGAAGTGTTTTGAAAGTCAAAGCTAGTGTGCAGAGTCACTCAGATGGCAAATGAAACCAGCAGCTCTGAAGAACACAGAAATATACCTTCTTCATGAATAATTTAAACACATCAGGTTAAAACACACTCAGGCAGACAGCATCTGATAAAAACTAGGGAACACACAAAAAACCGAATACCAGATTTGGGGCTTTATCATGGAGAATATAAGTACAAGATGAAGAACCTATAGCATACAAAAGATATCTGTACAGATGAAAACAATGTTTTGAGTGAGGTGTTTGCCAAAGACAGAATGGGCCAGTGGAGAAATAATATGCAACTAGGGAGATATTATGATAAAGTACAATAAACAGAATACCCTAGCTGTGGATGAAATAGAGGCAAGAATAATATTTTCATCTGGTAGAAAAAAATATAGCAGTCTGAGAAGAATACAAGAAATGTATGCTGTTTATTCATGATGGTTATAGTACAAATGTTGAAGACAAATTAACTACCATAAAAATTAAAGTAATATAATGCTATATGCTTAAAATTAGAAGTGAAACTAACACACTTATTCCACTGAACACATGGGAAAGATGATCTTGGGGCAGAGAAATGGAAGTTAAGTGATTTGGATTCTAATTCTGGGTCTGCAATGGATTTCCTGTAACCTTAGGAACTCGCTTTACCTCTTTGAGCTTTGGTTTCCCCAATCATAAAATGGGTGCAATGCTACCTATCTCAGATGGATGCCATGAGACTTATTTATGCCTATTAGTGCTTTTTGGAGGAATGGATTATATCTGTGCAGAGTATTATTGTGGGGCCTGATCAGGCAGACCTTACACCCCCTCATATCCCAACTTCAGTGGGAGTTTAGGGTGCACAAGGAGGATAGAACTGATTACCTAGGCCAGTGAAACTCCTGTTTCAATCCCAAATCATCTATTGAGTCAGATGAAATCTTACAATGGTTCTGGTCCAGATTTTGGCCAACACTCAGGCTCCTCATGAAGCATGACACACTAAGGACTGAGTAGTTAAATTAAAGTTCAGCTCATGTCTGTCATCACAAGGTGATCTTAGTTCCTATACTAATATAGGATAGAAGGATATGTCCACCAATGGCTATTAGCCAGGATTGGCAGGGATGCAAAGCCATGCTCTGAAGTGTCCCTAGCCTCTATTTGCCAGAAGCTGGGAATGGGCGATGGAGGATGGATCACTTGATGATTCCCTGTTCTGTTCATTCCCTCTGAAGCACCTGGCATTGGCCACTGTCAGGAAACAGGATACTGGGCTAGATGGAGCATTAGTCTGACCGAGTTCTTATGTTCACACCACCTCGTCATTAAAATATAAGATCTAATCTCCATTAGCTGTAAAACATACATCAATATTACACCAATCTTACTGCTGGGGAAACTGCCCTTGTATCTATTCATGTATACTGCCACATACTGAAGGCAGGGGAAAAAACAGCAAGCGAATTAAGTGTTTGACTGGCAGGAATTTTCCACATTGTGAATATTACAGGAAAAATGCTCCCACCATTTACCTAGAGGACAGAAAAAAGTTGATACTTGAGACTGTCAATGGGGATTTAGGTGTTCAGTTAAAAACAGTTGAAATATTACCAATGTCAGCATCAATGCAGGTTACCTTTATGTTACGGAGATTGGAAAGACCTATGTTGTTTTGATCCTATCACTGGAGCACAGACAAAACTTGATTCAGTCTAAGGGAATTTTGATTTTGAATGTGTTTGTGCATGTATGGTAAACCAATTTCTAAACCACTAGGGTGATACCTTCATGGGGGGAGGGCAGATTACTCCCACAGCTGCCTATTGTGAGTGTTTCTTGCCCCTTCCTCTGGAGCTTTCAGTGCTGGGGACACTGTAAGAGACAGAACGTTGGACTAGATGGAGCATCTAGTATGGTAATTCCTAAATTCCTGTGTTCTACACACATTCACATGCACACATGCACACACACACAGATTATCTGTGGGAGGGGGAAATGCTTATTTTAATCAAAGTTTGGTTGTGAATATAAATGACTCTAATAAAGGATAGGGTGATTCAAATCAGTTTCAGAATAGCTTGGAACACTTTGCATTGGCTGATTCTGTGACACTACGCACAGAAGTACTGTAACCATTTTGATGGAGTCGGAACCAGGATCCAAAAGTGTTAATAAGTTAGAACTAAGAGTCTATCTAAGTTGGCATGACTTTAGAAACTAAGATCCAGCCCACCCACACAGACATTCCACAAAATCTATGGCTCAGGAACTGTGTTAAACCTGTTCCTAAACATCAGCAAAACAATTTTGCTACAGAACTATTGGAAGTTGAGAAGTCTGGTTGGCATTTTTGGTTGGTTTTCTGCACAGAGTTCCATGGGAGAGCCAAACTGCTGTGTGACCTTAACTGTAAGTGAACAGCACTTCTTGCAAGTAATAATATGTATTTCCCTCTAGTTAGCAAGGGGTCATGGCTTGGCTTCAAGGAAGACCACAAGAGGCTAAGCATATTAAACCTGTCAGAAGGAGAAGGTAGTTGCATTTTTCCCATTCCCATTATAGTCTTTGCCATTAGAATGAGACATCAAAATTGTATTGGCCCCCATATAGTGTGTAAAAGACCATACACTTTTAATAGACTTAAAAAAAGATGGTAGCAGGCTCAGTATTCTACATATTTGACTAGACAGAGCTTGCCTCCCTCTTCCTTATACAGTTATAATGCTGTAAATCTGGGAGAGATGCACAGGGTCATTATCTCTAGGTTGAACTTTGACAAAATCCTCTGCTTTAATCCAGACGTAAAGCTGTCTTACTCATTGTCTGACCGTGAATAAGCTATAAGCAATGTCAGGGCGTTTCCTTCAATTTTCTTCAGGAGAGGCACCCCACTGGGGCATGTCACACTGGATTATAGCTGTCACAATGGGTTATGTCAAGTGACATCCAGCACTTTAACAACAACTCTTCTTCTGATCAGGCAGACTACGAGAGCTCCCTCAGTCCTCACTTTAAACAAAGAAAGCTTATCAGGAGCTACAAAACAGAAATCAATTCACCGACCTGAGCTAACATGACACATGCCAAGATCATAAGTGCCAGTAGGGAAATTTAAAAACTCCACCATCAATGCACTTGAGAAGTTCTGGAAAGACAGCATTTCCCAAGAATTTCGGTTGGCTTCAAGTTCTGCCTATTTGCTGTTGTTTTTTTGGGAGGGGGGATGTCTGAGGGAGGAAGAGAGGGAGGTTGTGAAGAGCTCTGAAGAGCAATGCTGTTGCAGTTCTTCACTCTTCCCTAGGTATGGCACTGGAGTGCAGACAGCAAATTGACAAAACGAGAGAGATTAGCTCCTGACAAGAAAGGGTTTGCTCATGGCAATAAAATGAATACCGAAAGGTTTTACAGATGCTGGTATTCTGCAAAGTATTCCTATTTCAGGCTGTGCAGGTTCAATAATGAATTTTAAAACATTATTATAGGCTTGTCATTTTTTAAACAGTTGTTGAACACTTCTGCAGTCTGAGATTCAGGCTTTCCCCGAGACAGATATGGACCAGATCCTGCTACTCTTGTGCTGAGAAGTACCTCACTCCACAAGCAATCCTGCTGTGAATATTGGTAGCAGAATGAGGCCCTCAGTGAATCTCTCTACAGCATTCTCAATCTTCCACAATAATGCTTCAGGGAAAGCTATTCTTATATCTCGTATAACCTATCACTCACTCTATTCTCTGTTGCCAGGTTCCCTCTGACCCACACATTGCCTGCCTAGCCTGAGAGAGGGCTAGATTATACCATTCAGGCACAAGCCCTCACTGGAGGACAGGTCAAGCGGCAAAGTCTTACAAGAAAGTCTAGGAAGGATCGTACCTCATTATGACACAGAAATCCCTCCCAGAACTCACCATCCCCAAGTGGGAGTGTGACCTTTGCACCATTCCTGAGGATATGGCAGAATGCTTTCCCCTCCACTACTGGCCATCATTCACTTTCTTTGCAGCAGGTAGCCCACATCCAAGGGGGAGGTAAAAAAGAGCAGTTGCTGTACTACCGAAAACATAAGC